TTGATAAATTGGCTTCTTGTTTCTGTGATATGATGCTAACCATGCGTTTCCAAAATGACTCTTTCCTTATATAATATAGGACGAGTGTATTTTTTTAGTACAGTACACTTAATTGGTGTCACAGAGGGCAATGTTTCGAAATATTTCCCGTATGGTGCTGTGAACTGTAGGTATTAATTAAAAGTAAGAAAATAAGGGTTTGCTAGATGTTTTTTCCTGACTGCAGCGTTATGCCGGGCCCCTCCTACTATCAGCGCTGTAGGCCTCATTCTGTAAACAGAACACAAACACACACACACACATCTGTGGTCTCTCTTTCCTCTGCCCTTCTGTCAGATGAGTCCATATGGCATCTGTCATGTCGCCTGCTCTCTTTTTATCAAAGTCAGATCACGACTGCTCCCATCTCCTCTGTCAGCTTATGTTTTATATATATATATATATATATATATGTGTGTGTGTGTGTCTGTGTTGTATATGTGCTGCAGCTCCCTCACTTAAGCAGAATTTCAGTTTAAAGAAGCTGTACTTAAAGCTCCTCAAGGCAAGAATATATAAAATAATTCCCCACTCTCCCAGCCTATTTCTCAGTCTCCCTAATAACAGACTTCTTGCAGAAATTTCATCTCTGCTTAAATTAAATTCTGGTGTTTGTGCATTTCTTTAACCCTCTGAACCCCAAGCAGTTTCTGAGCGTTTCTTTGGTCCTGTCAGATTTTTTCCTCATTGTTAGCGCATTTTTCACTGCAATATAAAGTCCTGCACCTCTATGGAAACGGTACAACCATGGCCGGAAGGAGAGAGAACTAAAAATGTCTTGTGTGCACTTTAACATTATTAGAATGCCAGAAATAATAATCAAGAGGACTAAAGTTTAATTTCTATAGCAATGTCACGACCTAAATTTCTAATTTATTTCCATACTTGTATCCTTGCTACTCTGTGCAAACTCAACCTGCAGTTCAGACTGTTTCAGCTGAAGATCCTAGAATTTTTGTTGTGAGATTGTTGGTTGCAGCTGAATCCCTCTTGGCTTGCCAGTTGGCCCGAGGAGCAGAGAATTTTTAGTTTTTTGCAGAATCTGAGTAGAGCAAGTGGTTTATTTTTGGTGGATTTTTAAGTGAGAGATGTGAAATAAAGTTATTTTGATGAAATATCAGATTTTACACTTTAAGATGTGGTTAAATTTTGATCAGTCACAGATGACTAGTTCAAGGACCATTTAAAATCTGCAGATTTTGTTGCACAGTTTCTGGCTGACAAATGGAGTAATTTAGATTTTTACAATTTTTTCCTAAGTCCAACATGTCTTTCAAACCTGCAGGTGGGTTTTGGAGTTCAGAAGGTTAAGCAGGAATTAACAACAACTTTATGGGCAAGATCTTACTGTCTTCTTCTCGTAACTAGCAGAGAAAGTCGGCAACATGAAATCCTCATACTCTGCATTTGTAACCATGAATCAGATAAGTGCACTGTATTGATGAGATATTACAGGGTTTCAGGATTTAAATTCTTGTGTCTTGCTGAAATTTTGAGGTAAAAATATGCATTCTTACACAGCAGAGCTGATATTTGATTTGGTATTGCAGCTCAGTGCAGCCAATTTTGGCACCATATGTCAAATATTATGTTGACTCAGATTGTCTTTTGGTTGTAATGTCTGTTTTTGTTAATGTACTTGACTTGCAACTGCGAAAGATGTAAAAATCTGTTTCCAAAAGGCTAATAAACAGCCAAAACTTTGCATATGCTGAAAGTAAATGTGTAGTGCAATTTGTTGGCACTGATCAGAAAGACTTCAGCATACAGCATCATATAACAGCTGACTTTTCTTTTCTCCACTCACTCCCAGAGAGTATTTTAAAATGAATAATCCTGAACAAAGGCTGTTTTAACAGGGAGTTTAATTATCATATTAGGAAAATTACCTTGCCTTTTTGGAGAAAGATGACAGATGAAAACGCAGTGAAAAAAAACTATCTTTCTAGGAAATACTTATTAAAAAATAAAAGCTGCAGGTTCTGAATGTGTTCTTACAAACGCCCTGCGTGTTGTGTTCTTCTGTTACAGTGTGAAAACTGGCCAACAAGCGGACGTGAAGCTGTGAGAAAAAGACTTGAAGAAGCTGACTAAAAGGTCTGATCAAGACTGTCCCCGCACCAAGTGGAGCTTTCTTGAAGAATTTCCTCAGCTGCTTTCAAAGCCGAGGCTCCTCATTAACTATTCCTACTGCTTTTCCACTGTATTAATTTTTTTTTTGACGTGGTTGGGTTCAAGGTTGCCGACTTCTTCCCTTCTCGTCTGCTGTGCTTTTTTTTTTTTTTTTTTTGTTCCAAGCAAGACCAAAACCAGGTGCCAAACTGACTGTGTCAAGAGAAGAAGCAAAAAAATCTTACTTCTATGAAACTACACGTCTCAAATTCATCATATGAAGAGTTTTTTCAGTCACCTAGCTTTTAATACCTGATTTATTAACTAACATACAGCTTTATTTTTCTCCCCATCAAACCACAAACATCGCATTACATTCACGTTTATATCCATTGTCTTCGGTCAGTGTTTGCTGGTCTCAATGCTAAAACTGCGTGATTTTTTTTCATACTGAGACGACGATCAGTGCATTATTGGTTCAAAGTGCTTTATAAATGCATCCTCCAGCTGATGGCTTGCTTGTAGTTATGGGTAACAAAGGAGGCGCGTGCTAAGCAGCGATAACTCTCTGCTGCGCCCCGACGCCGTCGGAACATTTTAATTCTTCTGCAGGACGGCGTTTGACTGGCAGGCAACACAAGCCACGTCTAACCCGATAAATACAGGCACCACTACCGCCACCGCTGCTGCTGCTGCTGCTGCTGCTGCTGCTATCTCAAAGGCTTCGTCTCAGTCTGCGCTGTGAAACACTGTTGACACTTTGCCTATCTCCTTCTTCCAGTCCCTTATATGAGAGACTCCTCTCGCTGTTTGTCCTCGTCTGTTTCTTCCACATGTGGCGCTCGATCACGCCACACTGAACAACCTGAAAGCCCCCTTTATCTACTCCCAGTGACCTCTTCAACCTTTTTGCATTCTTCCTTTTATTCTATGAAAAACATGCAATTTAAAACCTTTCACTGTACTTGCATTTTCTGTGGAAGGAGATCAAGTTTGTAAGAAAAAAAAAAAAAACAGAAAAAAGGACATAACCTAAAGCCATACTAAACACCAGCCATATGGATATCTTTTACATTTACAGAACTCCTTGCAGTGTTTCCTCAACAAAGTGAACTTCAGTCACGTCGGTGCACGCACACATTCAGGGAGTCAATGAAGAAACTTCTAGTGAGCAAAACCCCTAAATTTCACACATTTGGATGAAAGAACAGCTTTGTAAGTTCTTGACCTTTTCTACCTGCGTCTTTCTAGATCGCCCCTCCGTACTGAATCTGTGAGCGGACAGGCCCGCGGCGTCAAGTGTGGCAGCAATCGTGTCGAGTTCCCGTCGTCGCCCTGTGTTCCTCTGTGTTGACGGATGAATCCGGACATTTTCATGTCTGTTCTGTGGGCAGAACCTCGCTGCCCTGCTAGAACCGGGCCCAAGCCCTCCTTCGTTCTCTTCTGTTGGGCCAAGCTAAATTCAGAGCAAAGACACTCGCATAAGGGTATCGAACGCACATAGATCCTCACTTTTTTAATCTTTTCTTTTCGTCATTTTGTCACCACTTCCTTGCTATCTTTTCTGGATGCCTTGACATATTCATTCAATGAACTGATCTCTGTCCTCTAGTTGCAGCTAGAAGGACTTTTTCTTAAACATTTGATGCTGCTTGCTGCTAGCAGTACCTTTAACTAGTCCCACTCACAGCCCATGACTTTTAAAATCACCGTTCTGCTATTCGTTAAACCAAAACCTCCAGCATATTGACCTTTACTGATTCTCTTTCACTAAATTCCTTGAAAGCAAGACTTTGTTTATTGGGCAAATTGTGAGTATGATGTGAAAGAAACACAAATTAAAGTCACAGCTTGTGCCAAATTTGAACGGACTTCCTCTCAGCTTGTTCACCAAACACAGCTGAGATCTCTAAAGCTGCCAGCACTGTTGTTTACAGACTCAAGACACTCGGAGTGTGATATTTAATTTGATTACAAAAAAGACATTTTGTTTCCATGTATAATTTTAACACATTGGTTATCCAACAGAAGTGCCAAACTCCAAGAAGAATACATCCAGCATCTGTCAAAGCTCATCAAACGCGAAATACAAAGTTTACATACAGCGCTAAATGTTTACAGACTGCAGTTTCCATTTCAGTTTCTTACGTGAATCGTAACTTTAGTGCCATAAACAGCTCCCAGAACACTCTTCAGTAGGAGACATAAGACTCTTCTTTCGGACGGGTCATTATATTAAGAGTTTACAGTTTTCTCACTCGCATTTTGTTTACAGAAAACCTGAAAATACTGCCTGTTTTGAAGATTTTGGCCAATGGACTGTAAAATGGCTCTTTGTCAACCAACAGACCAAAATTAAATATCCAATACATGCTGCCATTAAAACTAACCCATATTATTCAGTACTGGTAGGAGTTTTTCTTTAAATTTATGATTTCAGATCCACAGCCATCGTGCAAGCAGTTAGTATAGGGCCTAAAAACTCTGAAAGACCTCAATGTTTACAAAAGCTGCTCACTGGAAGGATTTGTATTCAGAGAGAAATGTTTACATTCAGATGAAGGAGTGAAATGCCAAACACATTCATGTAACATTGCCTGAACAAAGTGAATCTGCTGAACTCCAACAGAAACCCTCTGCACCTGAACATTGTGTACAACACAAAAAGGGATTAGTTCATCAAGACTGAAGTCCAAACTTTTCATACTGAAGGTTTTTATAAGTAACAGCCGCCATCTTGGAGGGCGCTGACAACTCGCAGCGGATTGGAAACTGTTTGTGATTTTTTTTTTTTCTGTTTGTGATTTTTTTTTTTTTCAACAGCGGCTTGAGAACTTTGTGATAAAACAATGAGACCTGCAATTTCAAAAGGGATGTTTTGCTTGTCCCTTATTCTCCTGCTTTTCTCCTGCCTCGCTGTTTCCACGGTAACCATCACCACGGAGCGACGCGCCATCGATAGTGATGTCAGGACTCTGACCAGCAGCTCTGCTGCAGCTGGCAAAGCGAGCGCCACCTTGTTCCTCCTGACTGGCTACAAGCCACCACTGCCACCGCTGCCCGCCGGACCCAAAGTGGCGCCGAAAGCAGCCGAGGTGGAGGACGGGGACGATCCACCAGTCATGGCTGAGCTGCCTCCAAAACCCCTCCCTCAAACCATGTTGCCAAGGAACATGACGGCAGACGCCCTGAAGCCTCCGCTGGGTGCAGCCCAGGTGGCTCCACCCCCCAGACAGCTGGTGGATGTGGACGTGTGCAGGTACGGCTACGACGAAGCTGTTGTAAAACCTTTATGTTGTATGTTTTGGATGTTTTCTGTTGTTTATTTTTCTTCCCAAGAAGTATTTCAATTTACTGAATGTAATGCAACTAGTTTCTGAGTTTAACGCTCTGGACCCCAAAGCAGTGTCTGCGAGTACTCTGCTCACATTTTTACTCACTGTGGGCTCATCTTTCACTACAGTATAAAGTCCTGCTCCTCTATGGAAACAGCACGACTATAGGTAGAAACATAGAACTCAACATAGAACATGTCGTCTTTGCAGTTCAACACAGTTATAATGTCGTAAAAACCTGGAATCAACATGCACAACATTTTTTCAAGTGCCGACAAGTGTTACCAATACTGGAAAAAATATTGACTCTACAAAGTGACAATTTACTGCTTACATTTTGAATTTGTTTAATCCTTTTCCTCTTTCTGCAGTTGTGCCCAGTTCAGCCAAACAAGTCCCTGACTTGGTTTCTTGGTTGTACCGTGGCATGCAATATTTTTCATTTATTACAGAATCTGGTGCCAACATTTTTATGTTTTTGGCAACCTTTTGAAACAACACATGTAGAATGAAGTGATTTTAATGAAATATCACAATTATTAGCTCGTGTTGTTTTTCCCCAATGAAACTGAAAGGCACACATGATTTGGTTATGGACCGTCTAAAAGCTAAAAAATCCAATGATTCTTCCTGTTTTTAAAGTTTCTTGCTGCAATAGATGGTCTCATCTTGGCAATTAAAAAAAAAAAAATGTGTCCTTCAAAACCAGTGGAGGGTTTTGGGGTTCAGAGGTGTAATGCATTATGCAAAATTTAGATCTATATCCATCTAACTTAACTGTAGTGCGAAAAAGTGGGAGAAGCTTCGTGTTCATTGGACATGGTGCACTATGGAGCTATAGGGCTGTTTTCCTCCACACACACCTACCTCATGCATCGTTAGACCAGGAGACGGAGGATACATGTTAATAAATAAATCTCAACCGCATTCTTTAGAAATGTAAATACGTTTTTGTCAGCTGAAATCCAAACACACACCTCCTACTCTGGCATTCTCTGCCTGCTAACCTGTTAACATCCTCCCTTTTGTGGAATTTTCCATATAAGCTGATAACAGAAAACCTATGAGAACAGAATGCATGTGAGTCTTCATTTAAAAGGCAACATCTCCTATTTTCTGAAGAGGTGTTTGCATTCTTAGCACGAGTCGAAATATGGCTCACGATAACTGAGACATTGGTTATGCCAGACCTGTGCACCACATCACGTAACCTTCTACATACTGTCAGCAAGACCTGTATGAAATTTCAGACCTCTGGGCCTCAGTCAAATATACTTTTATATGATGGGCAGGGTTGGCTCGTCATCCCGAATCACATTGCATTGGATTCATTTTTGTAACCGGCCCTGAGGTAAGATGAATCATCAGAAACATTTTAACCTTTCACAAGAAGTGGATTTTATATGGAAATGTTCAAAAAAGGGTTTTATACATTATATTTAGTCATGTAGTGACACATAAACCATTAACACAAGCACACAATATTAGAAAATGTAGAAGATATTTTTTTATTCCCCCTAAAAAGGCAGGTGAAAATCAAATTAATTAATAAAAGAATCAGCTTTCAGGTGAAAGGAGACGTTCAATGAATGAGAAAACCTGTTCAAGTTCGCTCCTCTTCGTTGAAATGAGATGCAATTAAAATATCTGTAAAAGTCACAAATGCTGAGCCCTAGGTGTGTTGTATAAAATAAGCAAAGTTAACCTTTCAAAAAGTTCACAGCTGAAGGGCTGCACCTCTTTTACAGCGCTCATTTATTTCCATCCATGTAATGTGCTGATCACACTGGATGCCAATAAAAATGAGGCAGATCATGATTCTCCTCCTGCAGCCCTGATCTTGATCTCGCTGAAGCTTATATTTTGCACTGAGAGGCGTCTTGCTGTTGCTAGGCAACACATAATCAGCTCTAAATCAGTTGTGTGTTGGCGAGCCACACGCACTACAACCATCAACAGCAGTTATGTTCAGGCAGTGGAAAACAGCTCTAACAGTGCAGTAATAAGAGACGGATCGAACACAGACCTCAGCAGAGTTCCTCTACATTTACTGTTTCCTTTAATGTGCTGCTCATTTTTGTCTATAAAGAATTCATTGTTATCTGTTCTGCTGTTGCAGAACCCTGCAGCCTGCAGAAAAAAATGCAACAGTGACCTAAAACATTTATTTTCCTTTGAGTTGTCTTCAGCTAGAGGTACTTGAAGAGCTTCTCCTACCACAAAACACAACACCTCAAGCACAAAATGATTCAAACTCAGTAAAAAAAAAAAAAAAACAAACACTAACAGAAACTGCTTTCTCTATCAAACCGCATCTGTTGTGATTGCTGCCGTAGTCTTGCAGCATTAGCATGGATGACATGGTCATACATGCCATCATTTCTACTGGTACCAGCTGTGGTTAAAATGAGTCTTCTCATTTGTTTTTTCTTGCAGCGTGCTATAAGAACCTTATGAAGGTGACATATCTGTGCAACTTTAACCCTCTCAGCTCCAGCCATTTTCTGCTTGTGTTTTGCTTCTGTCACATTTGTACTTGCTGTTAGGCTCATTTTTCACTGCAATATGAAGTCCTGCCCCTCTGTGGAAACAGCACAGCTATGACTAAAAGTAGAGAGAACTCCAAAATGTCTTAATTGCAATCTGAATGTGATTTTACCATTCAACATTTCTGATTCGTTTTCATATTTGTCTCTCATCTGCTCTCCATAAACACAGCCTGCAGTTCAGCCAAAAAGTTCCTGAATTTTTGTCATGTGGCTGTTAGTCGGAACGGATCACTGGCTTCTCTGTCGTGCAGAATTTTTATTTTATTTTTTTTTTTACAGAATCTTGTTTGAGAAAGCTGTTTCAAGTTGAATTTTTAAATGAGACACAGGCATCATGGTGTTTAGCCTAGAGTTGGTTGTTTTCTGATGTAACAAGTATTTCAGAGGCTATCAGAAAGCTGAGAATCCGATAATTCTTTTTGTTTTTACAGTTTCTTGGTAATAAATAGCGTCATTTCATTAATTTAATCAAGCTCGCCAGTGGGTCTGGGGGTTGTAAGGCTTAATTTAGAAGTTATTATGGCTAAATATTAAAGATTTGGATCCAAAAGGGTGTCAACTCTTTGGAGAACTACTCCAGAAAAAGTCTTCTAAAAAATGTCTTACTGTGGTTGTCAGGATGCTATTAGTTGTGCATCTACTGTCTCCTGCTTGTTTCTCCTTTGACCCACACACCGGGGTCCTGATTGGCAGAAACATCAAACACTGTGGCACCGGTGGCACGTCTTTTGTTGAGCTTTCCACCTCTTTCCTCCACAGGGGTTACTTCGACGTGATGGGACACTTTGACAGCACGTTCAACTGCTCCCAGGGCAGCTACATCTACTGCTGCGGTACCTGCCACTACCGGTTCTGCTGCGAACACCAGAGGAATCGGCTGGACCAGGATGCCTGCAACAACTACATCTCCCCTGAATGGGCCGACCCACAGGTTCCAGTCACTGTGCCCACCGGAAACAAGCCCGACCCGGACTTCGAGACGCTTCAGCAGCAGAACAGCAGGTCAGAGCCAGCAGTAATTAAAAAAACATCTGAGGAAAAGTACAGCACTTTATTATCCTCATGTAAGCAGAAACAATAATGTAACATGTGAAAAAGTCAAAATTGGGCATGCTTTATTTTGCGCTTTTATTTTAGAGGACAGAGAAAATGTTATTTGCAATAGTGCATTTAAACTAACTGTTGTATACTAATGTATTTCTGTCTTTATTACTTACAGAAGACAAAGAAGACACAAATTAAAAATGTAGAGGTGGCAGTGATGCTTTTAAGTATTTTTTTTTTAGTTTTGAAGCAAAACCGGTTTAAGAACAGCAAATAAGTATGAATTATGAAGTTGTTGTAGTTTGTTTGGTTGTAATCATTCTTTGTTACTCAGCTGTACATCTCATATAAATAATGTAATAATAATTTATAGTACATAATGTGTTCTGTCCTCTAAAAATCTTCATCAGTAGTCAAAAAAGAACTTTACAGAACTGTGGTGATGCACTAAACAATGCTCAAAACTGAAAAACATTGAGTAGGTAATAAATGGGTTTTGCGTTTTGGTGTTCAGAGGTTAATCACAGTGTCAAAGTGCAACATTGCTCCTGCTAAGCAGACACATGAATCAAACAGAAACAGACAAATACAGTAAAACCTATGAGACGCAACCTTTTGTTTGCTTCTTGTTTGCCTTTACTGCTAAGTTATCTAAGCTCATTTTCTTCCATAAACAGCACGGCCTATGTAATTGGAGGGGTGATCTCCTTCACGCTGGTGGTGGCTGTGGGCGTCAGGATCGCCTTCAGCAAGGTGGCACGTCGACCTCGAAACCGAGACATCAACATGCCCAGGTGAGGCAACCGGAACGCTTCTCATCTTAGACACGCACAACAGAGAACAAATGATCAGGCTGCTTTGTCAACCAAAATGAAATGAACTAGCGCTGGTATTCTTTAAAATACATGGAAAGCTTACTTAGTCGAGTTTTTGCACTTAGTTTGGTCCGCTAACAGCAGGCAATCAGAGTTGTAATTAGAAGTCACATGATCCACATGGAGTGTGTTACCGACAACTTTGGTAGATTTCAAAGTGTGATTGAGCAGTGGACTGTAGTTTATCACTTGTTTTGATAAACTTTGAATAAGATATTCCAAACTAGCTGCTTTACATGTTTACTAAAACATAGTACATCTATATACACCGTTGCTGTAACTACTGAAAGAGGGCTGCAGCTAACAATTAGCAACATTATATTTCTGGTTGAGATCAACCAAAGAAAATCCTGTTAGACTGAAACCATATCTATTCTTGGTGGCTTGCCCTAAATATATGTTAGTCTGGTCAAAAATGTACTTTTAATGTTATTCTGGTAAAAAAAAAAAATTAATTTCAGTTGTTAAAAAAATCCTGAAGCACAGATGAAGGCTTAAAAGTACTTGGTTTACCGAAGAAAACTTTTAAGAAATGAGACTAATGTCTTTTAAATCTTGGAATAAATAAGTCTGGCATTTCACTGAACTGTTGACCATGATGAGATACCCTTACACGGATCTGAAACTGATGTGAAATTCACTAATTAATGAATGAGAATGACTGAGAAAAGAGAACTTCTGTGTGTGGATGGTGCCTCCACATTTACATCTTCCCTGTCCTCCTCACCTCTCCCTTTTTCTTCATCCGTCTGACCTTTTTGTTTTTCTCTCTCCTGCTCTTATTCCTCCGTCCCTCCTCTGCTGTGTCAGATCACTGGTGGATATCTTGCGTCACCAGTCGAGTCCTGTGCAGCAGGGAGAGAGGAACAACACCACAGTGTTGACCACCACCACCTCAGACGGACGCACATCTAAAAACGTCTACACCCCCATTCTGCAGATCAAAGACAACCGCAGTAAGTGACGAGCGATTCGTGCTGAACAAAATCTGTTAGTGAAAACAGAAACCAATGGTATCATACTGAGGTAAATGGGGCTTTTAATCAGGCCAGCTGACAGAGTGTCTCTGCTGTCATGGATGGGAATATTGCCCAGATCTCACATCAGTGTAAACATCAGTAACACACTTCACACTGCAGGGGAAACACATTTATTGAACTGTTGCTGCTGTTAACTCAAGTTAAAAAGCGATCTCAGTGAAATGAAATAATGCGAGTCCACTCATTTACAGAAGTACATGTTTAATAATTTCTTATTGGCTATTATCACTTTTACTTATTCTGTGTTTGACAGCGCTGCAGCAGGGGAATAACAAGTTTGACAACATATGTGATGTTTTTAGTCTGCAAAAATGTACTAATCATTAAAAATATACATATATATATATTTAAATAAGTTCTCAACCAAAAAAATCTATTATGTACAGAAAAAATAGTAATAACGTTAACTCCTTCTCTCTCTTATGTTGTTGATTTCTTCGATAAGCTAGACGGACATTTGAAAATGTTGATCAAGTGCTTATTATGATGCTATGATGTGGTGATTAAGCCTCTGAACTCCAAGCAGCCTTTAGGTGTTCTTTTCTCCCGTCAAATTTTTACTCACTGTGGGATCATTTTTCACTGCATTATAAAGTCCTGCACCTCTATGGAAACACAACAACCATGACTAGAAGAAGAGAGAATTCAAAAACATCGTCTGTGCAGGATGACACAGTTATAATACTGTGAATCATAAAAATAACTAATCTATTTCACCAAACTTGAAAAATCTGTGTTGATTTTTACCACAGGTGTTACCAATACTGAAAGAAATGGTGGCTCAATATACTAAAGATATGTTACTACTTCCATTTTTATTTTGTGAACGTACTTTGCTCAACTCTGCTCTGTGCAAACGCAACCAAAAAGTTCCTAAATGTTGGTCATGTGACTGTTAGTTGCAGCTGAGTCACTATTGGATTTACAGTTGCACCAAGGAGCGCATTGTTTTGTTGTTGTTGTTGTTTTATTCATTTATTTATTTTTTACAGAGTCTGGTGCAAACAGTTTAGTTTTGATGAACTTTAAAATGAGACGTATGATTTAATGAAATATCACCATTTTAAGCTTCAATTTATGCAAATCCTGGTGAATCCGAATCTGTTTTTGGTGTTCAGAGGGTTAAACTCACAACAAATTCAAAAACGGACAAAATTATTTTGGTTACTGGTCTTAGTGTTAAATTAAGGTCTTGAAGATGTAGAAGAATTGAAAAATCAAGCTGCCATTTAGTTTAGAGATAATGTAAACGGATGAGCGAAAACAATGTGACCACTCAGATGAAATTAATACCTCTGATTATCTTGTAAGCACGGCGCCTGTTAAAGTCTGGGTTGTAATAGATTGTAAGTGAGCAGTCGCCTCTCATAGTGTTGTTTGTGGGATAAGTGGGCAGGTATAAAGACTGTAACAACTAGGAGCTTGGAAGTCGCTCCAACCAAATGACTAGGTCTCAAGAAACAGAAAGACTTATGGGTCCTCCTGGTTAGCAGCAGCGAGTCCTGCCAGCAGTGGGACAAACCATGAACCACTGAGCAGATGTCGCTGCCTGTCTTGATTCCAGATACCTTCAATCTTGGAGAGTCACAGGCCTCAACAGCTCAGAGCAGAGGACCAATAGCACATTAGGAAGATGGTTATAATGTTCTGGCTCATCAGTGTATTTCAGAGTAAGATGTTACAGACTGTTGCTTTGTGGAACTGTTATTATCACAGGTGGATCTTTGTATTTACGAGGGCTGCATCATTAACTTAAACCATTTTTTCTCCATCTGTCTGAGCTGCTGCACTGCACTAACTGATCGGAGACTAGAAGTTTCTCTGTGCAAAGCTGCCTACCAGCGGCCACTGATGCATGTGAGGCGTTTGGGCAACATCTGTGAATTGTAGTGTGTTGAAAGGCAGATGTTCAGAAAGTGAGCTCACTTTGGATGCAGTTTATTTTCATACACATAATTTAGTAGATGCTCTGATTCAGCTGAAGGATATTTCAATGCAAATTTTTACATTAGCAGGAATGCAGCACAGTATGGACATGAAGGCAGCGCTCTCTTTATTTAAATGCAAAAGTGTTTAATGTAAAAAAAAAAATTCAGAAATATGTGAAAAAATGATTGAGCTCTCACTGTTAATCAAAAATGTGACTATGGCCATGATTGTGCAGCTCTAGTATTTGCTTTTATTTCTCTACAGAAGTGACAGCTGCATCTTGTGATGTAAAACTTTAAAAGCTCTTGTTTGCTGTAATCATGCGAACAAGATTATAGCAGCAAAATCAAAACAGATTCAACATGTTTGCCGTCTTATTTAAATGCATATGCTGCCCACACACAGCCGCTTTGTGTTGTTTCTGGTGAGAGAAAAAAAAAAAAACTCCTGCTCATGCCAACAAATATGCAGTTGAAGTGATGGTTTAAAAATGTATCTCATTTCAAAACGTTTTCTGTCTGATTTGTGGGAACTAGAGTGGAGGTGAATGTCACTGCTCACACAGCTGCAGTGAAAACACACAATGACAACACACGTTTTTCTCTCTTTACTTCTGCTCTGTCTCTCTGTCGCTCTGCAACTGTCACTCACAAAAACAAGCTCTCTCATTTCAGTCTCTCTAGGAATTGTTCCTCGACTATGTAAGTAATAGCTCTTGAAATTGTACCAAATTCTTCCCAGAAAAATGCCAAAAACAACAGATTTTTGTTGTAGTTGACTGCTCTTAATTTGATTTCACATGGCACAAAGAGTAGGAGCACTTTAATACCAAAACGGTTTTCTGACACACGGAATCTGTATTTTATTAATACAGCTTCAGTTAAATGCTTCCAAAAGTCACACTGATTATCAAACTGAACCTCCCCTTGCAGTCTGTAAACATCTTAGGCTGCAGTTCATGTTCACTTTATATTGATAAATCTGCTAATTTGTTTTTTCTTGATTGGTTATTTGGTTTAAGAAATGTCAGAAAATTATGAAAGTGAGCCAAACTGACGATTTAAACGTCTTGTTTTGTTCAATCAGTAATCCGAAAACTTAAAATGATATAAAACATAGAAAGCAAAGAATCTTCACTTTTGAGAGCCAGTGAATAACTGTGTTTTCGGTTAATTATTACCACAATAGTTTCAGATGAATTTTCAAAAGATCAGTTTATCAATTAATTGAGTGGTTAAATAAACTACAGAGTGCAGTAAACTGAACTCCGGAGTCTGTAAATGCAAAATAAAATCCAAACTACGTTGCTTTGTTCTCCCCTCAGGAGGTTTTCATTCCACTACGAAGACATATAATGTGCTGGTTAGTAGTTTGATTCAATTAATTGGGGAAAAGTTTGCTATTTAAATCAAATGAAAATACGAAAATAGGCTGATTCCTGGAGGGACTGTTGTTTTCTCTTTCCTGTCCTTTTTCTCTCGCTGTCCTGTCTCACCCACTGTCTGTCTCTCTCTCTCTCGCTCCCTCTCTCTGTTTCTTTATTGACACAAATGCTTACTCGACACACGCCTCTTGTGTCTCTCGAGTGGTTGTCCATCAGTTTGTCGGCTCTGCTCTCTTTGCAGCTGGGAACTTGCACCACCATTTTAACCAGCAGGGGTCTGCTTCCAGCCCCAAACACTCTGCTACCATCGGTAAGCCTCATGGTTAGCAGCACAGGAGGCGGCGAGCTGCCGGTCGGACTCGCGGCCTCACCACCACACTGTCTGTCTGTCTTGGTGTCAGTGTGAAGGCCTGTCGTGCTCTTAAAACCGCTGTGCCATTTGTTAACACTACCTTGTGGCAAACACGCGTAAGCCGTGCTTGTAACTCACAGCGTATGTTTGTGATGACACATTTTCTTTTGTCACATGGTCGTGTTGAAGTTGACACATGTTTCATAAGAGTGTGAGCTTCCAGTTGTCTGGCCTGCCCTCTGCTTAATGCAAGCCTGTCTGCCCCTCTTCACCCACTACCACCACAAGCCTGCTTCCAAACTTGCTCGTCCTCCTCCTTCTCTCTGTGTAGCAGTGATGTACAAGTGTGCTTACAGCTGACACTGAACGCGACAGGAGGTCTTGGCTTAAGCAAGCCTTTTTCCCAGGCTTTGAGAAGAGAAAGAGCAATGCTAGTACAAGTGATCCGTCTACCCACCAATTGTGCTCCTGTTGTACCCAGGAAATAAACTGACTCCTACTGGAAGTCAAATAATTATTTGTGGAGGCTTGTTTGGTGCATCTAACATGGCTGCAACAGAACACTGGACAGCGTTGCCATGGAAATATGATGATGATGAAGGAGATGAGCCTGATTTCCATTGAACTTTTTAAGTTGTTTCAGTGCCAGTTATTCCAAGCCATTACACCTACACGTGTCCCTCGTGGAATGAATTACACAAGAAGGCAACTGCAAAGAATAAAACCAGGTTAGAGAACAGATAGAGATAAAAACCAAGAGTTTAAGTGTAAGCAGCAAATGTTGTCAGTTCTTGTTTTAACAAACAAGTGCAGTTATCTTGTTTTTATAGACCACGTTTAACCCTCTGACTGCATTTTTTTAAAACTACATTTTTACTCACTGTGGGCTCATTTTTCACTGCAGTATAAGATCTAGCCCCTCTGTGGAAACGACACAACCATGGCTAGAAGTAGAGAGAACGCAGATACATTAAAAAGAACCACTAACGCTGCTAATGCTGAAATTTTTGATATACGGTATTATTTATTTTAAAAAAAAAATAAAAATCTGGAACCAACCTGTGCAGCATTTTTCCAAGTGCCCACAGCTGTTACCAACACTAAAAAAAACAAAAAAACAAAACAAAGAAAGCTCTACATATTAAAGATGATTTACTACATGCATTTTTATTTTGTTTCTATATTTGTAGACTCTCTGCTCTGTGCGAACACTGCCTGCAGTTCAATCTGGAATTTTTGTCACATCAGTGTTGATCGCTGTTCAGTCAGTCATGGCTTCACAGTTGCACCAAGGAGCGCAGACTTTTTTGTTTTTTAAATAATCCTGTTAGAGCAGATGGTCTTTTTTTCATATTTCTAAAAGAAACATGTAGAATGAAGTAATTTTGATGAAATATTATTATTCTAAGATTAGATTTAGTTAATTTCCAGACAGACGTCATACATGATAAGTTAAGAGGACCATTGGAAAGGTAGAAACCTTACACTTTCTGGTTGATAAATACGGCAATTCTGCCAATTTTTAAAATATAACAAGCCTTTAAACCTTTCTGCAGTTTTGGGGGTTCAGAGGGTTAAATGAAGTAAATAACAAATTCATATGACTTGTTTATAATTTCAGAAGCACCACATGCTATTTTTAGCTGTGTCATGTTAAAGTTGAAAATAAATACTTTTTTTAGTAGCTTTGTGTTTTCATAAAGCGAGTTTATAAAAGAAAATGGCATGAAGGTTGTCTTTAAATAGAAAAAAAAAAAGATTGGCTCTATTTCAAAGTCGTTGCCATAAACCCTGATGATTTCAGCTAATTTCTGCCCATTTATTGATATTTTTGGCAAGAAGGGTGAGATTTCATACTTTTGATAGATACTTTGTCCTTGGTGTCTTTTGTTCTCTCTTTTCCTGTGTTAGCTAAAGTTAACAGCCTTTGGGAGGATACAAGAACACTTCAGCTCTCTGAGTCAGACACTCAGCACACACTGAACAAAGTTCATTTTTCCAGGACAACCATTATCAAACCTCTCTGTCAGCCATCGTAGGTGTTCCAAAAAACAAGAGAAAAATCAATTACGTTGCACTCATGGAAATGACCAGGCTAATCCTGCATCCTGGCACTGAAAAACACTGCAATTTGTTCAATATGTGATGCTTTCTACATTTTTTTTTTTTTCTTCCAGCCTTCATCACGCTCAGTTCCTGCTTTCAAACCATGTGATCTCAGAGCTAGCATTGCTTTTTCCCACCGTGTGTGTAGCGTTCACAGTACAGAAGTCGATGTGGTGTGTGTTCCCTGGGTGGCACTTAACAGAGACATCATTGGCCATTATTGCCCATTACTGTCGGTGGTCACTGACCAGTATATGTCCAGCAGTTATCTTAACAAGATCGCAGCCCATAGCCATTACCACCCCGAATGGACTCGACATTGATTGTGTCTGTCTCTAAGACAGGAAACAACAGCAAATGGCCACAGTTACGCAACCTTTAATTGCTGCTTTATACTTTTTTTCTTTTTTTTTTTTAACATATTTAAAACTCTCCTCCATCCTCTGCTGACACCCAGCAGTGAATTCAGTTTCTCCCTTTTCTTAAATTCGACATTTCAGAATCCTCTTCAATCCAGCAATGGGCAGCATGTGTTTGTGGATTTCACATGTAACTTTTGGATGTGAGCCTGTTCTAAATGTGCCGACCCTACACATGTCGGGTCGCTGCTGAGTGCACCTACATGTTGGGTCATTCAAAGTGCTGTCTGTTTGGAAAATTTGAATATACTCGTATACTTTCTGATGTAACTGATATGAGTATACATGTTGCAAAACAGACACCCCTGCCCCTCCCCCATGCCGCTAACCTTACATAAGACAAATCATTTTTATGTGTATCGATCGATGTGCTGCTTTTGCACTTTGCATAAATGTTGAATGTGTGTGTATCCAGAATCCTTCCCCAAGCTATCAGTGTATTTCTGTGTATTTACATGTGGCTGATATGTTTGTGTTGGAGCCCCAGATGAACAGCACAGAGCTGTATTTATAGATGGTCGCCATGGAGCTCAGAGACACTTTCTGTGTTATATGATAGTTAACCAACGTCTTCCTCTTTTCTTATTCTTCATTTTTTCCTTCTCTTTGGCCCTCTTCACACCCACTTTTTCTTCCCTTTCGTCCATCTCTTCTTCCTCTTTGTTTTTCCTTCTCTCTCAATTTCTGTCATCCACCACTCCTGCCTTCATCTTCATTTTTGCCATTTCTTCCCCCCATTTTCATAATGTTTCTACATCTCTTTCATCTCCAATATTTTTCTCCCTTCCCTTCATCTCTGCCTTCTCTCTTTATTTTCTTCTGCCTCCTCTCCACTTCTCCTCTGCCTATCTCCAGAGCGTGGACCCCGTATGAACAACACCCCCCAGCTCTCCTCCGGGCCCACCCTGATTTCAAGCAGCAGCAAAGGCCCAGGAGGCGTCGGTGGCGGCAGCATCATCGGTGGGGGCATGAGACACAACAGCAGCCACCCGTCCTTCTCCCACTCCTTCCACAACCTGGCACAGTTGCCGCCATCCTACGAGGCGGCCATGAAACCGGAGATCAGCCGCTACAGCTCCCTGAAGAGGCTAGGTGAGCCGGGGGTCGGGGTGGAGATGAAAGGATGAAGAAAGAGTGTGGAAATGCAGGAGAGGGAACAAAGGAGGCAAAGAGAAATACCTGAGGGAGAGATGAAGGGGAGGGCAAGTGGGACTAATTGATTATTCAGGACCACAGAGAGCTTTCAGTTGAAGCTACAAACCAGCCAGTAGCCACATTGGAAGCTTTGAGTTCTCGTACCACAGCTTTTGTGTGCAGACATAAACTTGACTTTTCCAAAGGTATAAAGTATATACATGAATAATTTTGATCATTTGACAGAAAGTTGTTGCAACGATTCATCGTTTACTTGTAAACATGAGTTAGTCACCAACTATTTTGTACTCTTTTAGAAATCAGTTTGAGTATTTTTTTGAAGAAAAAAAAGGCTAAATTCTATGTTTACAGCCTCTTAGCCCTCTGAACTTGCAGTTTGTAGGCTTTTTTCTGCCCCTGTCACATTTTACTCAGTGTAGGCTCCTTTTTTTACAGCAATACAAAGTTGTGCACCTCTATGGAAACAACACAGCCATGTCTAGAAGTGGAGAGAATTCCAAAATATTTTCTCTGCAGTATTAAACAGCTATACGGCTTTAAAAAATGGAACTTTATTCTTTCTATGGAATCAACACGGCCATGCTACAAGTGCTGATTAGTCATACCAATGCAGGGGGAAAAAATGGCTGCTTTTCATCCATTTGTTACCACACTTGTTTCATTTCTGCTTGGTGTAAACACAGCCTACGGTTCAATCTTAAGTAGGACAAATTTGGTCACGTGACTGATGTTCACGAGGAGCACTATTTAGTTTTTTGTCGAATGCGGTTGGAGCAAATGATTAACTTTTGTCAAATTTTTAAATTAAACATGTAAACTAAAGCTATTTTGATTAAATATCACAAATAAAAGCGTAGATATTACATTCCCCAATGGAACTGCTGCGTGTCACACATGATTTGACATCATTCAATTGATGAGTTTGATTCTTTCTGTTTTTCCAGTTTCTGGCTGACAGGTGTTTCCATTTCAGTGGTGTTTCATAAACGATATCATTCCTTTCAGATCTGCTAGAGGGTTTTGGGGTTGAGAGGATTAAATCATGTAAACATGTTCTAGTAGACTGCAAAAATACAATTATTGACAAGTGAATGTGCAGATTTTATGAGATGTATGCCTTTTTAAAGCGTTACGCTTGGGTCCTGTGTGTCCATAAAGTTGGGGAACTCACAAGGGATAGATTTTAAACACTGGAGGCTGAGATATTCGGACTTTCAATCCCCAACCTCAAAAAGCATTGGATCCTACATGTTCTATAAGTTGAAAGCGTCTTTTGTGAGGCCCTGCCTGCAGGGAACACCCACATCTTTCAAACTCCAGTACAACCCTTATGACATCAGTATGAAATCATCATTTTTCCTTCTTTATTTTTTTTTAGCGAGCTCTTCCTGGTCAACAAAAAAACAGTTGTAAAGGATCAGTAGTTCTCTTCATTACGAGTACACTTTTTATATATAAAACATTGAATAACAATCTATTATCCACAATATCTGATGCAACTTTCTCCTCAGTGTTGTCGAGTTAGTACTTTGAGACAAGAGACTACAAATAATTTGTAGTTGAATGTTAGCATACACATTAGTCATGTAGAAACCATCTGCCCTGTTGGAACAAAGTTGGGGCAGCATTATTTCTACTATTTTTGCAAAGACTAGCATTTTAAAAACCCGAGATTTTGGTTTAGACTTTGGTCCCTCAATTGCCTGAGCATATCTCAACTAAGCCACGAGTGAGCTGTTCTCAAGTAAAATGGCCTCCTCCCACCACATGGCTGTCCTTCCAAGTATTTGTCTTTTTGTGGTCTGGTTAGTTGGACCTTCAAGCTGCTAATTCTCCAGTGAATCCAGTTTATGGCAGCCGGCACAGCCACTAGGAGATCTGTGACTCAGCTGCAAAGCCAACTAACCATCTCAGTATTGTCTGAGTGTGTAAACTGTTTTCAGCTAAGTAGCCAGAAAAGTAATTTAAACAAACTGACGCAGAAGAGAAGAAATTGATGGAGGAAGGCTGTGAGAATCTAGACAGTGGAGAAGATGGAGACAAGATGAAAGAACTGGAGGGAGATGTGTGAGGTTGGAAAAAATTAAACAAAGTCAAAGGAAGTTGGAATTTTAGCCCTGTGAACCCCAGAAGCCTCTTGGCAAGTTTGAAAGGCATGTGATTTTTTTTTTTAAATATCCAAAAAGAGATCATTCATCAGAGCTAAAAACTGGAAGAGCAAATCCAAATTTTCGATGGTCCTTGACCTGCTCGTTGTTGACATGCAGCTCCGTGGGAAAACTAAATCAAACCTAAGCTTCGTTTGTAATTTTAGTTGGATTAATTTGTGATCTCTTCAAGATCAATTCATTTTACATGTCTCATTTTTAAATTTGCCAAAAAATAAAATGTGTGCATGAGATTCTGTAAAAAAAATAAATAAATAAAAATAAAAATAGGAAGCCATTAGCGACTCAGCTGCGGCTGACAGTCACAGGAAAGAAATACAGGGACTTTTTGGCTGAACTGCAGGCTATGTTTAAGAGTAGAGAGGACATTAGATATCTGTAGTCAGGGTTGTGCTGTTTCCATAGACGTGCAGGACGTTATATTGCAGTGAAAAATGAGCACACAGTGAAGAAAAAGATGACACTGCTCAGAGGGTTAATCGGATTTTAAAAATAAAATATTTTTTTTAAAAATAAGCTTAAATGTAAAAAAAAAAAAAAGTAAGTAGACTTGTAGAAAAGAAGGTAGGGACAGAGAAAATGAGGGTTAAGGGAAGTTGAAGGAGACTGAAGTAAAGCAACAGAAACGTAACTGAGCATGAATACAGAGAAGGAGGCTGATTGACCAGAAGAGAAGAATCGAGGAGGGAGGGAGGCAGGGAAGGAGCTGACTGAGCATCAAGAAAAAGAAAAAATAAGAGAGATATTCAGGAAGATAGAGATGCAAAGAGGTCGAGTGAGCAGAAGGAGAAGAATGAAAGAGAGGAAGAAGGGATTGTCAGGGAGAGAGAGATGCAGAGATAGGGGGAGGGGCGTTGGCTGGCTGGTCTGCAGAGGCCTGGTTGCCTTCGACGGGAAGAAAAGACGTTTGAGAGGCAGCCTCTCTCTCTCTCTCTGTCTCTACCTCTCTCAGTCTGATTGCTGGAGACTGCAGGGGGAGGGGAGTCTCCTCTGCAGGCGAGTGATGGATGGTTACTACGTGGGGGATCGTGTGTGTGTGTGTGTGTGTGTGTGTGTGTGCGTGTGCGTGTGCGTGTAGGCATCCTGGCTGTACGTGGAAGCAATAATGAGGTGAAAGCCAAGTCCAGATGAGGCTCTTTATTATTTCAATTCAATCAAAAGGAGAAAACACTTCAATAGACGACGAAGCGCAGCATTTGGAAAAGGCTTGCAGTCATTTATACATCCGAGTCGGAGACCTTCACCCCACTTCCTTTCCTCGTCTCATTCATGAAACAGCATCTCGGTCGCATTAATCGCAGCTGTCTTGCAGCCTTTTCCTGGTTTGGATCATCAAAAATTAATTACATGTTTGATTTTTCTTCAAAAGTGAGAGAAATCCAAGATAGAAACAGATGCAATTCCTCTAATTTGACTCTTTGTTTTCGCCACCACTTTCATTTTTTCCTCTGCTGTTTAGCCCCGCCGCGTTTCTCTCTTTGTTTTGTTGCTCCTCTCTCGCCATCTCTCCCTCACGTAATTGCGCTGCCTCGAATGACTGAGCAAATTAATTTACAGACAGCTATATGTCTGCAGCATGATTGCACACAGCCTTCTTCTTGATAATTAGAAATCTTTTCCACATGTTAAATAAAGCACTGGGAAATGCTATTTTGTGGAGAAATAGCACATTCGCAGGATATTAGTTTGACGTCGGAGTAAAGTGCTTATTGTCAGAGTTTTAACAGTGTACCTCCCACAGTTAACCTGTGATTCAGTGAATAGACAGGGATGTTTTATCCTTTGTTTTCTGTTTGAGGATTTCTGCAGGTGGCTAAGATTTCTCTCCTCTGTTCCATAGTTGTGGCCCTTTTAACAGTCATCCATAGATTAAGGATGCAAACTAGTTCAAAAATGTATACAGAGATTTTTATTTTATTAACAATGAAAATGAAAGAATAACTATACTATCATAAGTAATTACAAAGGCACTGGTTTGCTTCAACTCAAAGATGTTGGGCTGACTAATTAACCCTCCGAACTCCAAACAGTTTCTGTTTTTTTTTTGTTTTTGTTTTTTTTTTTTTGCTCTTGTCACATTTTTCTTCATTGTGGCCTCATGTTTTTCTGCACCTCTATGGAAACAACACAGCCGTGGCTAGAAGTAGAGAGAATACCAAAAGGTTTTCTGTGCGGTAAATAAATGATTTAGTGTTTTTTTTAAACAGCCTGCAGTTCAGCCAAAAAGTCCCTGAACTATTGTCATGTGACTGTTGGTCACATCTGAGTCACTAATGGCTTTATGGTTTAAAGAAGCAGCTGACAATTTCTTTATTTTTTTTTGCAGACTGTGGGGCAAACCCTTTATGTTGGGCGAGGTTTTAAACAAGACGGGTGGAAAAAGATATCGTAAAAGTTTTCCAACTGAACCGCACGTTGCAGATGAGTCGTTCAAGAAAAGTTGGCCAGTTGACAATTCTTTCTGTTTTTACAGTTTCCTGCTAATAAATTGCATCATTTTCGTATATCTCTTCAGGATGAGAGAAAACGCGTGCTAATGCAAGGTGTAATGGCATGCAAAATGAAATTGGATCAACCTGGCTGCATCTAAGGTGCAGGCAAATGCAAACCCATACAGCGTGACTGCATTGTGAAGAATGTCCCACGGTTTGAAAGGTCACCCAACAAAAGCTACAGGCAGTCACTTTGACAAACAATTGAAATTACAAGAATGCTTTTTAATACCAGATGTAAATTCCCAAATCCATTGAGGAAATGACAGTATAAAGGAGATGCCGTGTTTGTTTTCTGATGTGTAGCCTGACTGTATACTATTCATGATCTCTGGAATCATAAAAGCACGGCAGTCACCGACGTCTTAAGCACCCTGCATGCCACCTTTTATCTGCTCTTGGCCCAACACCACTGCAGACTTGATGTGATAACAGCAAGCACTCTCAATATGTCACAGTACGTGTAGTTGAGTCTGTGACGGCAGGTTTGTCTTTTATTTATTCCAAAATGGCACAAAACATCATAAGATATCATTTCTTTTGAGCTCGATGATTTTTAATTCCCAGATGCTGATAGCGTCGCTAGAAAACCGTAAAAGCCTCTGCTAACCAGATGCAGGCTGAATCACTGCTGCACTGGATTAAAGCAGTACTTTAACTGGTGTGATTGTTCAGTGCCTGCTTTTTTTTCAGAAGAAATAAAAAAACATCCTGAATGTCAGTTTTGGTGGAACACCCCTTCAAAAGCAGACTAAAATTGTGTTATTGCGACACAAAGAGAGGGAACACGGCCTCTCGCCAGCCATTGTATGAAACCTGCTGCTTTTGATGTAGTTCCCCATGCGGCGCTGCAGAAAGGACACTGATAAAGGCTTCTTTGTCTGTGGTCGGGAGCCAGGGAGAAACCTCGAGATAATTTGGCCTTACAGGAGGGGAGTAAACAGAGGGAGAGCGAGAGCAGGGAGAGGGTGAGAACATGAGTGAAACGGTGAGGAAAAGAGGGAGAAAGCGCAGAGCAAAAAACCTCAAGAGCAGGCAGGAGGTGAAAAGGGAAAAAAAAAAAAAAAAAAGAGAGGAGCAGGATGGAGAACGGTGGAGACAAAGGAACAAACAGAAGGAGGGGAAGAGACCTGAGAGGGAAAGGAAAGAAAAAGCAAGAGGGGAGGAAGAGGTAGAGAGGTGGCTGGTTAAAGGTCAGGTTTAAATTGGCTCTTGGGGAGCTGCTTCCATGAAAATGCTTTGAAGATTAAAGCGGTCTCAGGCTACGGAGCAGAAAGCACAGAAACACTATTTCTCCGTTAATGACACTCACTAACTGTTTCTGCATCTCTTTCCTTCTCTGTCTCTTTATGTTGTTTCTCCGTTTCTTTGTTTTCGCCTCATTTCCATCTTCCTCTCTCATTCTGCTTCCATTACAGTCTATTTATTGTCTCGTGCCCTTTCTCTTTTTGGCCTTGGGCTTCTCTTTTACCTTTTATTCTTTTATGCCTCATGCAATATACAGTGCATCTCTCTTCTGCATTATCCATTCTTGCCTTCTGTCTTTCCCTCTTGTCCTCCTCTGACTGCATCCCCCCCACTTTACCTTTTGTTTTTCCATCTTTCTACCTCTTCCATCTCTATTGTATTTTCTCTTTCTTTGAACACATGGCAGGTTTTTCTTTCGCCCTCCTTCTCATGATTCTTCTCTTCTGCGTCACCTAATCACTTTCACCTGGCTTCTGCCTTTCTTCTGTTGCCTTTTTTTTTTTTTCTTTTTGCCTCATTTTTCTGCCATTTTTCATTCCTCTATTCTCTCTTCGTAGTCTTTCGAAGGTTCATTTCCATCCAGTAGCTTCATTCAGAGGAAGCATTTGATCACATTACGTGATATTCATCAGCAGGTATTAAGCTGCTCTGAGCGCTTTTGCTGCTTTCATCTACACTTTCATGACATGATGTCTTTCTGTTGAGAAAGATCCAGTGCGGCTACTAAATAGACTCTGTGGGATTGTCTTTTCAAAATCCCTTTTTTTTTCTTGATTTCAACCTTGCAAAGGAAAATTAACCCTCAGAACCCTTTGTGTTTTTGTTCCAGGCATATTTTTACTCACTCTGGGCTCATTTTTCTCTTTAATATAAAGTCCTGCACCTCTATGGAAACAGAACAACCATGGCTAGATGGAGAAAGAACTATGAGATGGCTATAATGCCATATATCATTAAAAACTGAAGTGAAAATTGTAAGATTACTCATTCTATTTTATTTTCGTTCTCGTTTTGTAAAAAACCTAGAATCGGCATGTCCAGCGTTTTCCAAGTGCCCACAGGAGTGATTTATTGCTCTGCCTGCTTTAGATGTTTTACTACTTACATTTTTAAGTTTCCATGCTTGTCTCCTCCCTCCTCTGTGTAAACACTGCCTGCAGTTCAGCCTAAAAGTTGCTGAATATTTCCTACGTGATTGTCGTTCACAGCTGAGTCACTAATGACTTCACAGTTGAGCTGAGGAGAGCAGTTTCTTTAGTTTTTTGCAGAATGCAGGTAGAGCACAGAGTTTGTTTTTGGCACATTTTAAACAAGACGTGGAAAAATGGTCCTAAAATATTAAGATTTTTATCTCAACAATGGTGTAATTTTGTTTTGGTTTGTTGTTTTTTAAAGACAACATTTTGGCAGCTTTGGGGTCTTGGGGGCTAGGTAGGTTGTTTTTCATTTATTTGTTAGTTGGTTTAAAAAGAAAGCAATGGGAGTGCTTCTGTTATATTTTAGTCATAATACAAGGGGTGCTGTATGAGATTCAGCCTCATACAGTGTGAAGGATGACCTTTGTTGACTTTGCTATCTGTATAGTCTGTTGAAGATGAAATGATTTGTTGACTGAGAAAAAACTAACCTCAAGTTGGCTGGCCAATTGATCATTTAACCCCTTTTTTTAAAGCTGGTTCCACCTGTTCTTCTTTTCTATTTTTTCTCTCATTGTAACTTGAACATGTTTGAGCTTTTGACTGGATATTTACACATTTTTAACATGTTAACCTCATTGACAGGAGTATAATAGCTATTAGATGTACAATGCTTCAGTCATGAGTCTTTGTATCAGATTCATAGTTTGATATCACATGTCATTATACTAATTACACTTAGGACTGGCTGAAGGGATTCAACCGTTTCCATTGAGTGCAGAAATAATGAAGTTATTAATCACTTGCTGCAGTATTTACATGTTGCACGTTTCTCTTTTCCATTTGCTCAATCAGAGAAAGAACTGGACGAGTACTCGAGCTACTACAACTCCAAACGCCGCTCCAACAATGCACCGCCCTCCTTCCACTCCTCGCAGCACCACCTGCCCTGGGGAGGCGAGTACACGCTGGGATCCAGAGGCACGCTGCCCCTCCACGGCTCCCGGCCCCACATCCACATCCCGGCCTCCACCCCGAACCCGTACCCGCTGCCGGCCCAGTCGCAGTACACCAGCTCCTCCTTTGACAGGCCGCCGCGCCGCGTCCGTTCCCAGGATCAGCTGCTGGCGTTCGGGGAGGGCAACACGCTGTCCCGGCTGTCCAAGAACCAGCAACACCAGTACTACAAAGCCATGATGAGCACCAGCAGGAGCTCCACATCACAGACGCTCCGCAGGTGAGAGCAGAGATGAGGGAGGAGACAAGAGATGATGGGATGAGACAAGCAGATAAAATAATAAAGAGAAAGGATTGAGATCAGAGAGAAGATGAAGATGAGAGGAAGATCAGATTGATGTCAGATGACACGAGAAGATGGTGGTGAGATGAGGAAAATCCCACAAAGAAAAAACAGGAGTAATATTTAATAAATGTCAAGAGTGGGACAGTTTCATTAAAGTTTGAAGAGTCTGACAAGGTGACAATACACTCTATTAAATTTACATAACGGAGAAATTCTGTTCAGTCTAGTCTGAAAACTTTTATCTTTGTTTGAAAGTAAAACAAATCAAATAAGCTTCACTTACTTCTGGAACTTCGACCATATCAACGACATATGACATGACTGACTTTTTTTGCAAATAGGAATTATAATAAAGTAATTAAAATCACATATGTTTGAACTGAAATGTTTGATCTCAGGGTAGGACTGCATAGAGCTGCACATTCTGGTTTGAGCTATGGTGTCAAGCTACATTTTAGGGCAGGAAAGGATTATTTTTATGGAAGAATTTCTAAATATTTAACGTCTACACAGAGATATGTTTTTAAGGGGGCCGAAAGGGACTTTACATTTGAATTATAACATCACATCCTCCTAAACTCTTCATGTGTTATTCCTCTGAATTAAGACATTTCTGTGCTTTCTTTCTTCTTTTTGCCCATCACATTTTTCCACACGGTGACCTTCTTTTTCACTGCACTATAAAGTCCTGCACCTTTTATGGGAGCAGAACAACCACGACTAGAAGTAGAGACAACTCTTGTTTTCATTCTGTCTCCTCTCCGCCCTGAGTGAACACAGCCTGCAGCTCAGCTGAGAAGTTACCAAGTTGCTATCTTCTCAGATGTGAAGCGCAGAATTTTCAGTTTTTTTACACAATCTGGTCAGACCAGACAGCTTACACTTGGCAGTTGTATAAATAAGACATGCAGAATAAAGTGATTTGGATGAAACATCATGATTTTATGCCTTGATTTGGTTACATTTTCTGACAGAATGAGGCATTACAGATGAGTTGTTTGAGGCCTGCCAGAAAGTTAAAAATCAGATGAATCTTTCTGTTCGTACAGTTCCTTCTAAGCTGCGTCATTTTTTTGTTTGTTTTGTTTTTCTGTTCAAGATTACATGCCTTTCAACCCAGCCAGTGGGTGTTAGGGTTCAGAGGGTTAAACTAAACGACCACAAATTTGTAAAACTACAGATTATCTTGACAGATCACGACAGAAAATCATTCACCAGAAATACAAAATCTTGATCATATGTGCAAAAAAAGAAAGATAACATAATGGTGCCATCTTTTAAGCAGCATGAATTGTTGTACAGTGATAAACCCTTCTGTCCTTCCAGGTCACATGAGCGGCTCCTGGTCTCACCGGACCGCCTGGAGGACCGGCTGATGGCGATGGGTCTGCTGCTTGGAGGAGGGGAACGAGGAGGGGGAAGTGGGATGGTTCCCACCATGGGCCGGCTCAGCCACCACCAGAAGGCCCAGTCGCAGCAGAACATCTGCGTCACGCCGTCCATGGACCGCCACCACATGATCAAGATGAATTCCCACCCGACACCGGGCCACGACCACGACCGCAGCTCCGCAGCGATGTCGGGGATGGGCATGCACAGCGGCTGGGACTCCCACAGCGGCCACGGCGGAGGGGGAGGGGGCACGTCCGGAGGCCATCCCAACGCCCGACGGATGGCTTTTGCCAGCAAGAGGCAGAACACCATCGAACAGCTGCACTTCATCCCCGGAGGAGGAGGAGGGCAGGGACTGCGGACTGGAAGTAAGAACGAAGTGACAGTGTGAGGGGATGAGGGAGGAAGAGAGGTGAAGTTGTGAAGAAGCTGAAGACGGAATGAAGAGGGTGAAGCAGCGAGAGGCGTTCAGTGGGAAGAGAAAGCGGAGGAAACGGCTACAAATCGATGGAAGAGGTTTGATCCGAGCCGGCTGCCTCACAGGGCTGCACTCTGCCCTGAGCCTGAGCAGCAAACATCCCCCGTTCACTAAACACAAAGTGGTGGATGACAACATTAATCTCATAGTGAGTATAGCCAATTGATTCTCTCATTGTCACTTTGTGGATTGAAAAAAGAGAAATTTCAGCCATTCTTTGTCAAGGGAAGACACTTCGCCACATAAAAAGAGCAAAAAAAAAAAAAAGAAAAAGAAAAAAAGATGTAGTTTAAAGGCTGCTGGGTATTCGCTGTGACTTTTATTGAAGGATATCCGCTGAGTCAGATTTGCTGAATTGTCCTTGAGTTTTATTGCACCGTCCTCTGAGTCCTCGAGTGCTCTGACAGATTCATCTGTCTTTGAATCCGCTGTGGATGATGGAGAGCGCCGAGGCAGACGGGTTTGCTTGTCTTTGTATTTATAAAAGTATTTAAAACCAAACAAGTTGCTTTTGTATGAAATTAACCTGATAATAATAATGATAATAATAACGATATGAACATTACTGAGCCCTGTAGGATTTTGTGTATACTTAGCTGAAAACATATTTATCCTTTAGCCAGCCAGTTTGTAACTTAAAGGTTGGACATCATTTGTTTCTCTGGCTGTGATTGGACTATCAAAGTAAAACTGTTAGAATAATCGAGCCGAGTGCTGTTAATTGTCATTTGATTGCTTTAAGGCTTGATTCACATTAGATGAAAATAAAAAAAGAAGCCATTTTTGAGGAAAAAAAACAGTACCTAGAGCAACTCAAACTGCTGCCATAAAGGCCCAGTCACACCAGCATTTCACAATAAAATCAAGTAATTCCAGTGAAATCACTGGATTTTCAAAGTAAACGCGCATTTTTTGTGTGTCGAGTTCAAATTTGGTGAACTTTGAATTGCAAATTTGTGTAAAGTTGCCAACATGGAGGAAGCTACTGTAGCTTATTAGCTGTGTCGCTATGTTTCATTTTTGTGATCCTCCTGAACGGTCTGCAGACAAGGAGACAAATGTTGTTCTTTGAATCAAGTTTGTAAAGTTATTGCCCCATTAGCGACTTGCTTGCTAACCTTACAGCTAGCAAAGCTGCTTCTTCACTCTCCTCAGTACCTCTATAGCAGATGACATGATGTAAAATCCCAAGAACAAAACATGAGTAGACGGAAGCTTGTGGAGCTGCTTGTGATGGATGCAGTGAGCTAACTAACCCTGTCACCCAGTCGCTGCTTTCTTTCTAAATCCAAATGTTTCACGAAGACGTGTGGATGCTGTGTTACTGGTGTGATCGGGCCTTAAGAGTAAAATCCACTTTGCAGTATCTTAGCTGAGCTGAAGCCTTTGTACAGTGAATTTAGTGGGTGTATATCATCTATGAAACATTGTGCTGTGACCCTTTTTGCGTAATAATTAGTTAGAAAGTTTGGAATTAGACCCCCTCATAAAGAAGATGCAGTCTCACGGGTACATAAGTGTTTTAAATACAAACTAGATCCCTCGACAGCATTTCATTGCGAGTTCGTAGAGAGTCGAGGGTCTCTTTCCTGCCACTGATTGATATGAAAAATTTCTCCCGTACATCCACGACGTCGCACGTTGCTCGCAAGTTCAGCTGCTCACCTCGTTTGAAGGGAAGGGAGGCAGGCGGGTTCGAGGCTGGGGACAATGGACACTTCACACCAAGGGCTAAACCGAATTATCTTTGTGTGTCTGTGCTCTGTACTGCTTCTCATTTTCCTTTTGTGTCGGGAGGCATGCTTGTGCATATTTTCACAGATTTTTTTTTTATTTTTATTTTCTTCCTGTGTAGAGAGAAAAATATGAACATGCAAGGAAACTCTGCAAAGTTAAGGAGCTTTTTCATGTAAAAACACATTTTGTTGAAAAATAAGTGTTGCAGGAGAACAGGTGACCATAATGATGTCATTTTTTTTTGGTAAACTTCCTTTAGTTTTTCTGGCTGTGAGATGGACCTCCTGGCCGATTGGCGGCTAGATTTCCCCTTTACTGGGTTTAAGGGACTCGCGAGGCCTTGTTTAAGGTTTTCAGCTTCCCCTCTGAGTTGTATTTCGATAAAGACAGACATGATTGATGACTGAGTGAAGCTACCTGCCAGCCATTTTTAGTGTTTTAATACATGTGCTCACGTGTTAATGGTTCATGTTAAAAAAAAAATCAAATAAAAAATCCCCCTCAATGAGACTATAAACGCTGTTATCACGATCTTTTCTTTTTGTCTTTTACTTAAACATGTATTTATTTTTTTAATCTCTGTGAATTTTAATGTATAATCCTGGATTTTCAATATTAAAAACTTTCTAGTGGAATTTAAAAAAAAGGGAAAAAAAAAAGAATAGAAAAACCTTTGTATTCACAAGAACAAAAAGAGCTGATGCAATCAAAGAGAAAAGACGAACCGCATGATGATGTCAGAAGCCGGTGTTGGTGATGCCATAGTGCTGACTCATGATGTCACGGCGTGTATGTGTGTAAATGTACATGTGTCTGTTTTAATTTGTGCGCCCGTGCGTGTAACTTTGTGTCTTCTTGTTAGGAATGCTGAACCTCATTTTGTCTTGAGCGCGCGAAGACGATTTTAAGACCCGAGTCGCAATTGTTATGTGTTCATATCAAAACTGTAATGAAATTTTTAAAGGCCCGTCTTCATTGCATCTTTTGTTTGTTCGTTTGTTTTTCAAAAGGAAAAAAAAGGGACATCGATCAATCACAGCTTTTCTCGTCGAGCTATGTTCACCAAAGCGAGGACTTTTCAAACGTTTGAAAAATGTAAATTACCGAAGGCTTATATTGTGTCACGTTTTGGTCTCTGGATAGAAGCAAAAGAGCGGATAATTTATCACGCGGGTCATGAGTTTGTATCGCTGCCATTTAATATGTATCAGCAAATTTTATTTATTTATTTTTTTTTTTTAAACAATTTTCTCATTTGTGCTCATTTTAACAGAAATTTAAAGGGCACAGAATTGGAAAAAAACCCCAAAAAACAGCTTTTTAAAGCTGCGATATAGGCAACGGAAAGACGGCGATTTGCATTCAAGTGTTTTTGCTTTAGCGGTTGTTGCTAAAGTGGAGGAGAATGTATTGTGAATTTGACTGACAGGACTGGAAAGGCGTTTTGGTTTTTCTAATGACAACATCTCACTAACTTTTGAAGGGAACGGTGCAAAAAAAAAAAAAAAAGAGGGGGTTGGAGATGTAAATGACGTGAAATTCAGTTGTATTTTTAATGTCTCGCTCATTTCTCCTCATACCTTCGAAGGTCTGATACAGATGTTGTAATCCATGTTCAGTTAATTGCTCCCCTGATAAAAACTGTGTGCCTGTATGTGTGCGGTTGTGTGAATGTGTGAATGTGTGAGTGTGTGTTAACCACTGGGGATGAGGCATGGACATATTTGTATTCTCAAAGCTACTCTGCATACCTCAAATTGTATGATACATTTATTTATAACATCCCCTTATATGTCTATTTCCAAGAATATCCAAACAAAGGTCTCACAGATGTGCAACCCTTTTGTTATTGGTGATCAATTCTTGCGTTTGTAGAAATCATACTGTTTAATTGATAATAACAATAAAAATAAAAAAAATCCCACTAAACCTTGTTTATGTGTTGTGTGATGTTTTGGATTTTTCAAGCTGCTCCTATTATTTTGTTATCCGAAATAGGTTATTTGAGAATTTGGAACTGTTGGAAAATGTGATGCACGTTTTCGCAATTTTTTGACTTTTTTTTTTTTTTTTTTTTTACTTTTTTTCTAATGAAGAGAGAAAAGACGATTTGGTTCAATACCCTGGGGGAGTTTTTTCCCCCACTGACTGACAGTTAAGTCTATATGATTACACTGAGAGAAATTTAACAAGGTTTAAATGCACAACAAAGGTTTGTGACGACTAAACCACCAGGG